AAGTTAGCAAGCTTGAAACCATATGAAATTTTAATTTTTGTTTATCTACGGATTGTATTTCGGCAAAGGAGATGGCTAGTCATAAGAAGAAATGGGTGATCATTCTATTTTACTATGTCTTTTCTGTAAGCATTCTGCTCATGATTCCACTCAAGATGATGAAAGATGACACTATATATTAATATAGGGGTCTCAATTGGATTGGATTTGGTCCAATCCGGTCCAGTCCAATGTGAGTCCATTACAAATGGACATGGTCCAATTCAGCCCAATGAATATTTTGGATCAGTTCAGAGACTGTTCAATCTGTTCAAATTCCTGTTAATTTAGATTGGTTTCAACTCAAACTTGGTCCATTGACACCTATGTTCTAACCTTCTATCAGTGGACCAGATATTAGCTCAATCCAATATAAATTCATTATGGACGGACCAGGTCCAATCCAATATGTCATATTGGTCCGTCCAGTTTATCCAAATTCAATATGTCTTATTGGTCCATCCAATCCATCCAAATGGGTTTTGATTTAGATGGAGTCCAACCCAAAACCAGTCCATCGACACCCCTATATTAATATATGCAGCTAAGACATATTTTTATTTTCAATTCAACGTTGGCTTCCAAACCTCCCCTTCAAGAATGGTAATTAATGGTGGTGGGACTGGGGAAGAAAAGAAGGCCCAATCCCATTCCAGACTTGGGCCTACCAGGACTTCCGGATCCATAGTGCGATGTAGACTGAACTTTGGAAGGCTTTCAATCCGGGTGAACCTCACAGACACGGCCAACCCTATTGGACCATTGCCAAATCAACGTGCAATTAAAAACATATCTCTATTGTTTAAAATAAGATAAAAAAAGGTTGGTTGTTCCGTTGAGGTTTGAAGACATTCGATGGGTAGGGTGTAGGGACTTGGGATTGAGCTCAACCTTAGGCTTTAGCCAAGAAGATATATAGTATCAAATGGTCTCACCTTTACAAATGGAGTTGGTCACCAACTTCTTTCGTCCTGCTGCGTGTGTTGTCCATCTCTATTCTCCCCGTCTGTCGTGTCGTCTTGTATTCTCATCTTTTATTTTAAAATTTTAATGGAGAAATTTCATCATCAGTTTCCCTTAAAACAATTTCTTAACATTGMCTACTCATCGGCGACTTTCAAAATGGATCGGCATGGATCTTTTCCAATCGTTGAAAGTTTCAATCAATTATTCTACGTGGAGAACTTCTTAGCCACGGCCTTAGCCATCACGTTGGAGCTAGACCTCTAACTCTCTCTAAAGTAATAGCTATCTCCACTCTGTACCACGCCCACGTACATATAGCCCCAGGATCATCTCCAACGTCCATACTCCATGTATACGACTAAGGGTGTCAATGGATCGGTTTTGGATTAGACCCTGTCCAATTCAAAAATCGATTTGGATGGATTGGAGGGACCAAGAAGATGTATTGAATTAGATCAATCTAGTCCAAAATATTTATTAGATTAGATTGGACCAAGTCCATCCATAACAAATTTATATTAGATTGGGTTGAATGAACCCAATATCTGGCCCATGGATATAAGATATATAAGAACATTTGTGTCAAAAGACTAAATTTGGGTTGAAACCAATCTAAATCAAAATGAATTTGAACAGAATGGACGGTCCAGATATTGAATTGGATCAATCTAAATTGATCCACAACATTCATTGGGTTGGACTAGACCTGGTCCATTTATAATGAATTCACATTGGACTGAATCGGATTGGACCAAATCCAGTCCAATTGACACCCCTGTCTAATACAACGACGTGGGGTGTGAAAGCAGGATTATAAATATGTATATTTAGAACTTGTGGTTTATAGGGAGGGGGAGGTAGCTGTACAGGGTTGGTGCATGCATGCTTCACATTCAGTGGTTGTGTCTTCTTGCACCGACCAGCTGCTTCCACAACCCTAGCAAGTAGCGACCAACCCATAACCTGTGCATGCTGTGGCTGAAACTGGACCCAATGCCCTAATCTGGGGATTAAGTGCTGCATGCAGTGTTTGTCTGACCCCATTGGTGGCATGGGCTGCACCATCACCTTATCTCATACGGTCCTCTATCATTATTGCGAAACTAATCTGACTTATAAACATAGCAAATAATTATAGGGAAAGTGGAGTTGATTGGTCATTGGAGGAAGATATGTTCAATTTGTTTATTAATGGAAACAAGAATTTAATCCACGTTGAGCAGTCCGTGAGTGATATAATATTAAAGCCGTGGAATGTGGAAGTGGCTCATCGAACGAATGGTGAAGAGAAGAATAGGAAGGCAACGGAAGAATTGAGTTTGGATCAGGAACAAGAAAATCTACACATTCTTTGTAGTGGCATTCCACAAATCATTCTGCTCCTCATGTGGGTTTGCCATGGAGTTGGTTTACAGGATGACTTCTACATTATATTGAACATACAATATTACATGGGGCCGGGGTTGTTTTCAGTTTTGGACCCACTCTGTTTCAGTGTTTATTACACAGGACGCACCGCTACAGCCTACAGTACAGAGTTGTTTCAGGATACATCATACACGTACACTTCAGTATTTTTAAGTATTAATCAAGTCTTAATTAGGAGGGTGCCCATTTTCAAACAAACAGGTACAGCTCCTCCCCCAGTTCATCAAAAGCTCAACAGATCAAATTTCATATCATATCTGCATCTGCTTATCCGGTTGGGTATATAGAGATATTGGTTAAGGAAGATCTACATGTCTTACAATGTTCCATCTTTATGGATTGATATATGCCATATATTAATTTGAACATTTTGAACCTCAAGCCAGATATTAAATTACAATCCTACAAAGATGGTCGAAAGCCATCTTTGTAATCTACTGAGCCTTTATTTACAATTTCAGATCAACCCGGTCGAAAGCCAACCCATTTCATCCAGCTGTTGTTTTCTTTTTTAAAATTTTGCTGAGCACATAATTTTATGTAGTAAGTACTCTCAATTCAAACCTGCGACTACTTCACTTATTTATGGTTCTTTGTGTGTGTGTGTGTTTTTATAATTTACTTCGCAGTTTCTCAAAAGATTTATATAGGAAGAAGAAGAACGAAAGAAGGTTACAAGAACTCAAGTCCAAAGTTGAAACGAAAATGAACGATTGAACGGAACATTCGAACTATGGCKTTGTCCACTTTAGGTCCATTTTATGAATGGACGATTCATATTCGGACTGGTCCGTATTCATATCATTTTTAGGACTGTTCATTCCGTCAATATCACTTTCCATTCAAACGGTGTCCAACCCAAAACCGGTCCATTGATACCCCTAAACTCAACGTGGGATCATACAGATTGATACAGGCGTTGCCGTAAGCGACGAGGTCTCTTCAAGCCTTGGGAGGGTTCGTTTTGATTGTGCTCCTGGACAGTGATAGGGTCATAGAATAATTTTTATATTTGAATGTGGAGAATTTTAGATAAGCATCTTTACAAAGTGATTAATCGGGCAACAGGGTCCCTTTCTCATCCATGCTTTTATCCCCGGAGCAGGCTTTTTAGATTCTCCACAGTCTACAGAGTACGGATGATGTTGAATTTTTGGCTCATGGACGGTTTCCTCCCAAACCAACCGTAGCTGATCAATCGGTTTTCCAGGGGTTCAATTCAGCCAAGGCATGAAATTTCTGGGTTCAAGTTGACCGATGTTGTCTTGGTTTGGTATTGGAAAATGCCTATACACATTAATTGCCCAATCTGATAAGGCCACCGAATCCATTAGCGCCCATTTTCAAGGTTGGAATCAGCCAAATTTTTTTTTTTTTCTAGATTGATGCCAAGGTAGATGATGAAATGCATCAAATAGATTAAAGGCACCATGAAAATAAAACGGATCAGGCTGACAAAGGCTACTCCATCATCGTGGCATTAAACGAATAGACTACCCACCAGAGCATGTTTAATATAATAAGTAATCCCTTACTTGACCAAAGGAGTTTTTAGTGGGTCTGTAACACCTGTAAAACCTTAGAAGATATCGTTTTCGAGATCTTAATGCTATTGGTTCCTTAGCGATTCCTCACTCCACTATGTCCGAATTATGTTTCATCATAAACTAGTTGGCATCAATACAACAAATCAATTCGAATGATGTTGATTGGTGGAATCAATAGGATAATAAGTTGCAAGAGATAAGTAACCTGAAGTCCTGAATATGACTTCTCTCTGTACTACAATTTCTCGCTAATAAGTATGGTGTATGCCAACTTTTCAGGCCTAGCTAGCTAATTTCATTCTCGGACAATTAACTATAAAACTGCAGTACAATACCTTCTTTTCCAAACTCGACCACTGTTAAATTTTAGGGAGAAAGATGGTTCAGCACAGGACCAGAATTTACAGGCACAGAGTATTGTTGGGATAGGTGCCAGTTCGGAATTGATGCCAATTTACGGGCAGACATTGGTGCATAGAATGTGTGGAATTGATGCCAATTCACGGCGGGCATTGGTGTATAGATTGTGGGTTGTTACTATTTTGAATGTTTATAGCTCTGCACTGGAAATCAGAAATCTGCATTGGGCCTGTCCGTACTTCTCCGTAAATTTTATTAATAAATCATGAAAGAAAACATGAGAGGGGGTCATAGAAACGTAATCTCTCTCTCTCWMAAAAAAAAAAATCTATACAAAGAGATCGTCATCTAAAAACTAAAAAACTAATTTATTTATAATGTACATCAAAGGATGATGAACTCTAACCGGCCCAGAGAAAAAACACTAACCCAAAGGGAATGGTGAAACAGAATTTATGTAGCCGACCCTATGTAGTTTGGGATAAGGCTTAGATGATGCTGATTTTAAGATTGAAGTTGCATTTTGTCCTGCAATGGAATTATATTTGAGAAGATGACATTTTTCTTTTTTGGGTGCATATTTAAAGTTGATTGAGAGTTGGTCCATACTGTACTTCTCCAGTTCTCCTGAGATCTGAAAATAATTGTAAGTTTGCGACATGAAGCAAAACGATGAATTGGGTTATAGAATCAGCAAACTGATAACAGTGACAAGCATATAGTACAGATACGCCTTTTACTCCCTGAATGAAATGTGGAATAACAGAACTGGGGAAAGAATTCTTCACGCTAGACTGATTGTCAACCGGATCGAATTGCAAGCTACAGTTCCTCTCATAAAGCACAAACAAAATCACCACTTGTCTCAATATCCTCCAAATCAGCATCTGCATCCATGTCATCAAGATCCATGCTGCCACCAAGAAGATGACTACCAACCTTGGGACCTTCAGCCGGTTTCCTTGCCTCTTGTATTATGGATAATATATCTTCAATACTTTGGGATATGTCATTCATGTCATTGCTCTGCAAGCTATGTTCTTGTTCTATTAGTTCTATCGGCAAGTTTTTTGAGAACCATGGATGCTTTTTAATTTCTGGAATGCTTATCCTCTGCAAAGAAACCAATGGAAACTGATAAAAACAAGTTCAAAATAGAAATAGAAAATATGAACATTTGGGAGCAATATTAAAACACAACTGATATTACCTTTTCAGGGTTAGCTACAAATATCCGGGATAAAAGATGTTTACAATCCATGGATACTCGAACATAGTCTGGAATTGAATAGTGGACGCTAAGTATCCGCTGCCACAGGACATAATATATGATTATATGCAACTTAAACTCCATGACAAAGCAGTGAACAGGGGATATTTTAAACTTGGTACCACTACTTACCCCAATTGTCTTTCGAAAGTTCCGAGGATCATCAGGGTCTTCAAAGGGATAAGCTCCAACCAGCATCACATATAATGTCACCCCACAAGACCAAACATCTGCAATCTGTAGTTCTCAAGGATTACTTAACTGGTTTCTAAGTAAATGGACTTAAAATGGATGGACTGAAATAAAGTGAATAAAATAGAGAGAAAAGAGGACTAATTTCACCTTCCCATCATATTCCTTTCTAGATAGGACCTCTGGTGCAATATAAGCTGGAGTTCCTACTGTAGACTTGGGTTGAGAATGAAAGACAGAAGACTACAAATTGAGGCAGGTCAGTCAGTAACAGAGTGAGCTAACTGAACAGGGACATATAGTTTTAGACTTTATTGATGCTTAATTACCTTGGAATACCCAAAATCACATATTTTGAGACGTGGGGCTGTGCTCCCATCTAAGAGTGTGTTTTCCAGCTTAAGATCTCTATGACATATTTGCTACAATATATGAATCAAATTAAAGGAGTTCAAATAGACATGTACAAGGATGTGCTGATTATTTAACAATAAGTCTGGGTGATACCATTGAATGACAGTAGCTGACTCCTGATATAAGTTGTTGAAAGAAAAATCTGGCCTGATATGCGTGAAAATTGATAGCAAAGGAAATCTTGAATTAGTTTCAACTATAAACAGACGGTATATTCAGTGGCCAAATTGTATAAAATTCTCATTTCTCACAAATGAAATATCCTGTTAGTTTACCTCATCCTCACTGAATCTACCAGCATTACATATCCTCTCAAAGAGTTCACCTCCAGCAGCATATTCCATGACTATGGCTAGATGAGTAGGTGTTAGAAGCACCTGCAGGAAATAGTGAATATCAAGTAACAGATCATCAGATGAATTGAAACAGTAATCTCCAAAGAACAAATGGTCAAGTTGATGTTGTAGCATGAAAACAGAGCAGCAGCCTCGAACAAAGGATATAAAAGCTCAGTTTTAACTTAAAGAAGGTTGCTCAAGTAACTTTTCATTTGTAACTAATTAAATAAATGCAGATATCTTCTGTTTTCAATTACAAGTATGAAGTATACACTTCGTTTGCCAATTTTTTTTCTACTGAAATTTGTTTAACGAATCTCCACTCCTTGAGGTACAAGATAGCCTATACAGGATAAGATAGGCCCTTCACACTCCGTCCCCTCCCAAAGAAAAGAAAGGAAGAAAAGGGAGAAAAGGGTCTCAAAAGAAATAATAAAATTAACCACCCACCTCCTTGAATCTAACTATATTGGGATGCTTCAAGGATCTGTGGTTCATTATCTCCCTCTGTACATGTTCATCAATCTGTGACAACAAAAGAAAAAAGTTTAATCCAAAAGCAAGAAAAATCCATGGGTGTTAAAAAAGGGACAACCCCTGATTGAGAAAAAAGTAGAAGATCGGAAGGAAAGAAAGAAATAATGGAACGACATAAAGTTCAAAGGCCAGAAAATGAGGGGGCCGGGGAGATGAAAGTTGAAAAAAAAAAAACCTTGAGCCCTCTCTCAATAAGCTTGACGGCGAAAAGTTCCTTAGTCCACTTATCTCTAACAAGCTTGGCAACCCCAAAGTTTCCAGACCCAATTTCTTTCAGTACGTCGTAACGCTCCATAACGTGAGAGGATGAGAACCGAAAATAGATGCAGAGCAACTCTCTTCCTCTTTTTGTCTCTCTCTTTCTCAGGTTATTATCTTCCACATATCGCATGACGAGGATGTAAATACTTAAAAAAGAAGGAACAACAAAAGCAGAAATACTTCTGGTTGAAAAAAATGTTTGGCCGCCCAATCAAGCCAACCATTTTGTCAGACTAAGCTAAAAATATATTTCACGGCAGTCAAATTTGGTAAGGGAAGAACGAAGAGCAACCGAGATCAGAGAGAGAGAGAAAATACGTGGCAAAAAACCAATATATTGAGAAATCGGAATTGACTGACGTCCATTGAAGCAGGTAGTGAGGTGCCACAAGCTCTGCCTACTTCCCTTACGAACGGGAGGAGAGTGGATGGATGGATTATTATTGACGGATAAACCCTGGAAAGGCGAGCGAGCTCTCCAAATCCAAACCAACGTTACGTGGACGGTCCATGGGAGAGCACAGTAAGTAAAGTTAATAGTTGAGAGTGGAGAGAGGAATGTTGGTGGGACCATCTTCCTCTTTCGTGTTTATTTTCCCTCCATTTTGTTTGTTAAGGTATGTATGGTAATTGCGATATAATTGGTAATTGGTAAATGGTAACTGGTAAGGTAAGGGAAGGGGGGGACCGCTTGAGTTGATTGAGATTTGAGAGCTGCCGCGCGCAGAGGAAGATAGAAAAGCTAAGTGAACGAGAGGAGTACACGGCATGTATGGATTAGATTGCATCATCAGTTCATCAGCAGTTCAGCACCACACAGCAGATATGGGGGGAGAGGGTGAGTGAGTAGGCAGCAATTGCTTGGCTTCTTTGTTTCCGTTCGCCTTTTCCTTTTGTGCCACGCCACCACCACCCTGTAGTTTTTTTGCGCCTCCTGCTAAAAATCAGATGCTATCTCATTCCAACTGAAAGCCTGTTTTATTGTATTGATTCGGTGAGCACCAAACAAGGAATTGAAGGGTGATTCTTTGGGATTTCTCAAATTCTCATCTTATCTGAGATGATCTTACGGGGTTAAGAATTCTCAAATTCTCATCCAAGCCGTTGATGATCTCATTGTTTTCTGAATTGTTTATCCCCCCCCCCCCCAAAAAAAAAAATCCCGTATGAGGGTTTTGATGGGATCTGATGATAAGATTTAAGTTGGAGGATTTCAATTTGATGGCATGTATTTCCATTTTCCAGTGTGCAACGAGGAAATTGTGGTGAAATACAGCATATAAAGACTAAAGACGCATGAATATAATATGGCGTGTAAGGTTGACTTCGAGAGAGAGAGAGAGAGTCTCGACTCCAGAGCTCTGTTCTCTACATGTTGAGTGTTCACCATTTGGATTTTGGAATTAGAAGAGGAGGAAGGATCGAGGTGGAGTGGTTGAGATTTATCATTCACCAAGAATTGAGAATCCAGATCAAGGAAAGAGACAAGGGTCTCTTACTCTCTTCTTGAAAATTCACAGACTCAAAGGATTTTATTTTTATACCTACGGTGGAGAYTATTGTCGTAATTGTTGTGGTTTTCAGTTCGCTCTTCCGTAGCTGTAGYTGGTCAAACGCTGATTTAAAGAGGATGTCCGCCGAACTGTCCGAATCTACGAGTACGCGTCTGACCTCGAAGTCGCTGATCCTTAGTTTAATGACAAGCGC